GAGTTCTAAAGCAAAACAGTGCCCAAAGAAAACGTATTTTTTCAGATTTGCATTAACAGACATTTTAACACTTCAGTCGTCTGGTTCCAGTCACCACCAGTTTGAGCAATTCTGACTTGGTAAGTTTCTCTAGGACTAAGCATTTTATGTCAAACCACCAGAACGACTTTATTAACATCTTAACCATTTAATTATAAAGAAATGTTGAAAAATTGGTGAAATTCCTCCTCAGTGCTGGAACCCTGACTGTACGCTACATCAAACCATAACTTTGCTATATCTCACCAGGAGCACAGGTTCCATGAGATATCCAAACCTTTTTAGCACTGTCACGTCTCATCTATGATGACATCTGAACATGAAGGCTGTCACTTTTCCGTTACAACGTTGCTATGCATGGGGAATAGAGCAGAGCAGCGTGAGAGACTTGACAAAAATCACGAGTGACAGAACTACTGATGAGACAGTTATGGTACAAACAGAAATGCATGTGATTAGCCTGGCAGCACTCAAGGTCTGAGCACACGAAGAATCTGCAGCCGCAGCAGAGCATGAATAATGGACAATAACTAAACAAATAGCTTTTCACACCTCGAGTCCCGCCTCCTCTGTTTGCTAACCCACTGAATCCACCAGCACATATGTGCTGCACTGCGTATGTACTGCAACCCCACTCATTTATCTGAGAGCCATAGACTACGCAAATATTTGCTAGTCCATCGTGAGCGGCTTTTACAATGAGCTGGTTTATTAGGTTACCTGGAAAGCTCATAGTGGGGAAAAAAAGGTCCACACCCTTATAGGTAAACCCACTTCCTTGTGAGAATAAACTTTTGAATTTTCCTTTTTGTTTTAAACAATGGTCAAAATGACCATTAAGTATAAGTTATTCATTTATCTGCATCAGGAAAAAGCAGATTTTATGCTTATTCAATGTTTGTTATTTTTTTTATTTTTAGGTTTTATTTTATTGTTTCTTATTTAGCGTGTCCACTATTTGCCTTTATTACAGCTTCCACTCTTTTCTGGAGTCCTGCTTTTAGTTTTTTAAAGAAATCTGCACCTCCAAAGTTCAGTCTGAGAAGTTGATTGCATTTCATGATTCTTGCAATCCAAGTAATCCCATTTTCTTTTCTCAGTAACAGCTTCTCAACAGCTCCACCACCTTTCAGACCCATAGCATTAAGTTGTCTTCTCACAGTGGAAGGATGAACAGAAACACCTGTGGATTTTTTCAGATCTGAACTGGAGCTTGATTTTCTCCTCTCTTACAGTTGAAAGCCTCAAGTACTGCTTATCTGATGGTGACAGTTTTGGTGGTCTGTTACGTCTTTCACAGTTTTTAGGAGCTCCATTCGTGCCTCTGTATCTTTGAATCTTTTCTTAAACTCCAGTGTTGGAAGCTCCTGTTCTTTTACTTCCTTGATTTTCCTTTTATTTATGCAAATGAATTGTTTTATATCTAGTCTCCTCACAAATATCTCCTCGTAAATTAACAACTTGTACTTATTGTCCATTAAATAAATGATGGGTGGTCTCTGACTATTGCACAGTGCTGTATTAGGAACAGTTATTTTTTTCTTTTCTGTCCATATGGAAGAAATGTCTTTATTTGAGTGCTTTCAAGTCTGTAACATGCCGTCTTTTCTCAACACGAGGAACTAATAAAACCGAAGGCAGTTTGGATGCCCAAAGCTTTTAAAGTCTTGTTTACGGAACAGCCTTCTTCCTCCTCTCCAAGCAATAGGACACAACCCAGATTCCTCAAGAAAAAGCCCCAAAAACTTCCCCTAATGTAACCACAAACATACACCTACTCAAATTAGGAGGAAAAACTTGCCAGGCAAACTTGGACTTATTACAAAGCCAATAATCAATAGTCTTGTTTTTGCAAGGGGAGGGCGAAATACCCGTTATGCTTCCATATGCATGACTGTTTGTGTATGTGCACTTGCATGCATTAATTTGCTTCTTGGTTTGTATGTAGGTGTTTTATTTATTTATTTATTATTATTGTTCTTGTTATTTCTTCCTCCAGTCCTCCCTCATCAGAAAGGCTGCCCAGTGGCTGACTGCGCTCCAGCGCCAGGTTGTTAATTAAGTTTTGGGAAGCGGCGCATGGTCTTGCCTTCAAATACACTAACCAGTGTTCTCTTCTGCACACTTCAAAAGGCCGCGTGTGCCGCCTCAGCAGGATTATTAAGTGATTGCAGCTTCTGATAGCGCCTCAAAGCACCTCAAGCAGAGGAATGCCTTTGACAGGGCGCAGGTACTCGGTTGAGGAAAGACACACAAACGCTTACAAACATAGATGTGGACTATTGAGGGTGTAGAGCCTGTTTTGTTTGTCCTGATATATTTCTTCTCATATCCTTTCAGATATAGCAACTCTATTTACGTAGAGTCTGTTACTGCTGCCGCGTATACAATGCCTCAAATGCCTCTCTTTCAGAACACATGGCCAAAATGAAATGGCCAGCTTGGACCTGAAGTGATCCAGGCGGCGCTTATTGCTCTTTTCTTTACAGATAATCTGAGCAGAGCTTCTCAGTTAACATACATTTGCTCATTTAGCCAGTAGCATGCTTAATGAAAAGGCAGGCAAGCTGGTGCTGTCTCTATAGCAACGCACACAGCCAACAGGCTACAAAGAATGTCCGTCGTGTATTTTTTTGTTTATTTATTTTTTCCCTCCCCCTCCTCCGCTACCCCTTTACTTTATTTTCACTCTCATCAGGTGGAAAGGCCCCAGGAGACGGACGAACAGTGACTGAAAAAGAGGCGGAGGAAGCGAGTGAAGCAGAGGGGGCAGACTTAGCTGGGCTGGGCTCTGTTGATGGCTATCAGCGTTTGGCGACTTGTGTGTGTTTGAATGTGTCTGTGTGTAGGCTTGAAGGGTGGCTCAGGTGTTGATGCCTGCGGCTGGCATTGTCTGTCAGTGCTTTAGCACAGGGCTCCGGAAAGCAGCTCTGACAGCAGAGCATCCACTAACACCCGACTGCTCAACCTTCAGCCCGGCTCCAGCGCAGCACATGCCCTGCCAGGCTTGGAAAGGCATAACGCATCTCACGTACGCTAGACAGTGTTTCTCCTGTCATTAAACTAGCAGGTGTTCTGTTTTATGAGACACGCGCTCGTGTTTTGGCCGATCTATTTTCAAATGTAAATTTACATTGAGTTCAGATTCCAAGACTATTGATTACAGCTGAGTGTGGCTGAGGCGGGCTGGCTTGTGCCGGAGGAGCAGCCTTTAGCTCTAGTCTTCTAGTGTCTGGTAGAAGTCTGGATGGGACTGTTTTTCAGTTGCAGTCCTGGAAGATTTTGTCCTGCTCCTGCAGAAAATCGGAATCATTTGTCCCCTGTCATTTGTTGTGCCTGCTCCTGTGCACAACACCGAAAATTAGTCCAGTGCCGCAAGATGTTGTGGTGGGTCCCTCGGGTCCAGCGGGATTCCCATGTGAGGGCAGACCTCTAGTGTATGGTCACAGTAGGCTTTAAACATATGATTTCTGGGTCTTTTAAAAAACATAGTTCATCTGCTAACTGAAATAGTAGTTTGAGGTGGTTTTATTTAAATATGATGATAATATAACACCTAAGCAGTGTTTCATCTTTGTCAGTGTGCCCCCTGTTTGCAGACATAAGCAATTTCCTGATGCGTTCTTCTTTGCTGTTTATGAATAAAAATAAATTGCAATACTTATAGATTTGACAGTCCAAACAGCATTTAGTGCTTGTTTAGGGAATATATAGGCTATAAAGCATTATAGTATAAATTGACTGACAGAAATGAGCTCCCAGTAAGTCACAATTGCACTTGAAAGTAAATGTATATAGAATGTAAAAGTTGGTGTATTCACATAGTGTATTCAGGGTATATTTTGAAAAACAATGCTGCACACAAAATTACTCCAGCCTCTTTCGCTTTTGTCGACACACCACTCAAACTCCATTCAGTGAATCAGGTGTGTTGGTGATGGAATCCTGTGGAACAAATCTGTTTGATGATGGGGGCATCAAGTAAAACTCAGGAACCAAACTTCTCTTTAATCTAGCTAACTACTTTTTTGGAAACAACAACTTCCTGTTACTTCTTGCTGCATTTGTTTACATTTATCCTAATGTTGTATAGAGTTATTACAAGCAAAAGTACACTTATTGCCAAGATACATTGTTTTCAACATATTTTCTATATGCCCAAGTACTGTAACGTGTATTAAAAACATCAGCGATGTGCTGTTCATCACCTTAGAGGCAGACTATGTAAAAACTCCACACTGCTTTGTAGGTTATGTTTCTTGAAATACAATACCCAGCAAAAAGGGAATGTTACATTGATCAATGAAGGGCATAGTTAGCCCTGAGCAGATCAATGCCTTTTGAGCTCGTTTTTCAGTCAGATAAACCTTGCTTTAATTCCTATTCAGCTCTCCTTCTGTACTGCTCAGCACAGTCAGACCCATTTAGGTCACTTCAAGGCCTTCTGCTGCTGGTGTTCCCGCAGCATTTGTTAGTTTGTCATAGCATGTAAGAAAAAACAGAGACATCATTGGCTTTGTCGGTTTGTCCTTTTGCTGGCTCAGTGAGCATGTACACTAAAAGTGGCCCTCATGGACTCTCTTTGTTTTGTTTTTTTGCTCTGTATCCATACATAGACCAACCACGTCATATTTTCTTGTGCCATTCTTGTTTTTGCAGATAATTGGCAGTTGGTTTCATCCTCTGTCTCTGTCTCTCTCCCTCTGTCTGTCTTTCCGGTTAAGTAAATGAATACTTGGCTGCCGATCAAAGGCCGACCCCTGCGCTGTTCTGGCTGCCATGGAGAGGCGTCGCGGTTGGCACGGAGCCATCCACAGGGCCTGCCAGCCACAGAGGTCACAGCAAAGTGTCTGTGCGCGCACTTCCTACCAGCCGATCGGGTTTCGTGTCTCTCTGTCTCTCTCTCTCTCTCACTCTGTGTCCCTCCATCACCCCACCCCTTTTTTTCTCTCTACTTGCAGACCAACAGCAGGTTGAAGCAGCTTGAGAAGGACTACAGTCAGAAGCTTGCCAAGTCCGCACAGGTAAACAGTCTCTTCCACCTCCTCAAGTATTGTTCGAAAGCATATACAAATGTTCTGAGGGAAGTTTAAAAAAAAAAGCTCTCCTCCTTTCCCCCTCTGGACTAAAATTACACACCGTCACACACAAAGACACACAGGCTTATGTGTACACTGCTCCAGGGACCATTCCTATACAATACATAGACAGTTAATCTACATTTAACTGTTAGAAGGTTATCACAGTTACAGTTACTACAGTAACAAAAATATTATATTTAATTTAGATTAATTCTCACTCATCACTCACTGAAACCATCAGTTCTGTCTGTGGATTCTAAACTTTCATTTGTGTTTGTAAGTTATTATGGTTTAAACTGAATTGATGAAAAGTTGTTGTGCACTCTGTCTTTTTTGAAGAAAAACCTTAACATTTTTACATTCAGGATTTATTGCCTTTGTCTTATTTGCTCACATTTGACCCTGAAGAAAGATTTATTCCAATTAGAATTCTGCATTTTATAATCCCCCTAAATAAGGGTACAAAATAAGCTTCTTATTTTGAACCTATACATGAAATTTCTAATTTCTGTAGATTAAATACAGTTTATTAGTTTGCTGTTCATTGAACGATAGACCCCGTGTTGGGGTTCAGAAATGGTCTACAACTCCATTCCTCTTTGCAGCTAAACTTGTGCCACCAGCATGTGGCACAAGACAAAAATACAAACTCCACTCTAAAACAAGCACATATACAGTGAGATCCAGAAGTCTGAGACCACGTTGAAAATCTAGGAATTTTTAACTGGCATTTGTAAATAAACAGAACATTTTAGAAGTTTGAAAAATTTAATACAAAGAAAAGTTCAGAAGTGAAGCAGAAATATTCAAGATTCTGCACTATTACTGGTCACTATTTGAATTTAACCAAATTTGTGACAGTGATCATGTTTTCAGGTCTTTGTACACAAACTTGTACACAAACTTATCTCGTCCATTGAAGCTCATATTCAGACGACTGAGGAGAATGTGATATTCTCGTCAGAGGCTGTTGTACAAACTTGTAGAGGCCATGCCAGCTCGAGTGCATGCCGTCATTAAAGTGAAAGAAGGACATACCAGATACTAAGAAGTACTGAAATTGTTCCGATTTAAAAAATTCTAAGTTTCACACAAATTATTATGCTTATAATAGAATTTGTAATGAAAATAAGTCTGTTCAATTAGAAAAGAAATGTAAAATGGAAGAATTTTCACTAGTGATCTGTGTAGATTTTTCTGCAGTCAAATTATTTTATTTTGAAGGTCAAATTTTTAAAATTACTTTTAGTGGTTGCCGTTAAATGATCCTAAAAATGATCCTGCAAAACACAGTTCTGGTCGTCCCATCGATTAATGTTGACTGGACTTGAAACTAGTGTCAGTATTCCTTCTCTTATTTTCTGCTGAATGATCTTTTGTATCCCAGGCTGAGTCTGTGTGAAGGTAGTAGTTAACCCAATGCAGGAGACAGCCAGCCAAAATACCTGTGTGCATTTGATTTTGTAGCTGTTAATGATGCCCCTGCCCTCTGTGATGGGAAGCACCATTGTTTTTAAACAAAATCATCAGGGTCATCTGAGCATTGATCCCTATTTTTCGCTTTTCATTCCTGCATGCTGACATGTCTGTTATTGGAGGGACCCCACCCCCACCCAGCCATGTGGTTAACATTAGATTTAATCTGTTCAAACTGAAAAGGAAAAAAAAACAACCCCGGTTCTCGTCTTTTGCTCATGAATCAAGCTGTAGGCCCTGTCCTCTATCTTTCTCTCTCTACCTTCTCTCTCTCTCTCTCTCTCTCTCTCTGTTCTACTCACTCCTCTCTCGGCGTGTGAGATTACACGGGTTGCTCTGACACTGTGGCTGAACTCCTGTGAGTTGTTTATGTTTCATAGGAGAGGGAAAGAAAGCAAAAAACAAAAAGAAAGCTCCCCTCACTGTAAGGCTGCAGACTCCAATGGCATTTTCATCTGCCATAATTGCCCCTCATTACCTAACTACCAAATCCAAAACGCTTTCTTGTCCTCTTTCACAACTCCATTTCAGGAGCTCCCCCCACAAAAAACACACAGGGTTCAAAGTGAGGTTGACAAGCAGATGTCGTGTGAAAACAGTGGCCTATTAAGTTACACAACGGCTGACACTCAAAAAGAAAAAAGTGTGGGTGCGTACGCATAGGATTTCGCGGCCGCTTGCCCGTCTTTTTGTTTATGTCTAATGCTACATTTCTGCCAAGAGAACCGCAAGTCATTAATCTCTCCTCCTTTTTTTTAAGGCACCAAATTGGCATAAGCTGAACAAACATGTCTCTTTCCCCCCTCTACTCCAGCTTTGTGGGGAAAACAGGCTTTGGTTAAGGTCTGATTAAATGCACCTCCTGCACACTAAGCATCAGAAAGGATTAGCATACCTGTTGTTGTTATCTGTTGCTAACGTGCCCTGGAATTCGTTTAGCCTCTAAACTCACTTGCACTTTGCAAACTGATTGCTTGTTGCTCTATGTTCCCCTGAGGTGGAGTGCTAAGCAGTGCCCTTTGAACTTCTGAACAACTTCCCACTACTAACCTATGCCACTAATCAAGAGGCATCTTTCTAATTTGCCTAAAGCCAGAAGAGTTGGATGTGTATCGCCCCAATTAAACATAAGCCAAGCTATACATTAGTCTAGAGGGCATCGTAGCTCTGGCTGCAAGCGCTCTCACTTTGCTAAGGCTTTTAATTAGTGATAGCTGGCAAACGCAGCTGCCTCATACTCTCACGAAGAAGCCTCCCCCTCCACCCACCTTTGACCTTAACAGTGTTTGCAGCTTCCCAGCTAACGATTAGCACTTGGATGAGGCGACAAAAGATACCAGTCGCAACCCCCAGCCGCCTCTGCAGTTATAGGCCACTAACCCCAACGAAACATGGGCTATATATATATATATGTACATAAGTATAGCTGCTTAGCATGGATGCATCCATTTGGCATTTCTGCTTTACTAGTGACTGATAATTAACGCATTCTTGTGCCCAGTGAAATAGCTTTCCATTTTAAAAGAAATTTACACTATAAATAGTGGTGTACAATGGTATCTGAATCATGCTGGTATATATCAGCAGATATTTGCCTTAAGAAATGTCACTGTAATTACACAAATCATTTAAGCTGATCACAGTTATTTTCTGCAGTTGTTAGCTTTCAAATAAAAAAAAAGTGAGTTGAGTGTGTTTCAACAAATGCATGTAAGTAGAAGAAAGCAGAAAAGAAAGACATTTATTTAAGCACATCATGGGTCTTATGAAGACAGAAGTTCAAAACTGGTGCTAGTTTTATAAAACATGAATAATATCGTGATATAATAAAGCTCTTTCTGTCATCAGTTGGGAGCTTGTAGGTATTGACAGCTAGAAAACGAGATAGCTCATCAGCCAATTCGGCCACTTCACTTTAATTGTTAATCGCAGTTACTTACTTGTATGGCAATTAATCGTCAGTTAAAAATTTGTGATTGTGACAGGCCTGTATCGGCAATGGACAGATGTTTAGATTTGACTGATATTTCAAGACGATATTTGATGAGGTATTTGTTGTACACAAGAAATACAGAAAGTTTAAGCGACGCTGGGCTACTGTGCTAATATGTCTGCATGTTATTCATTTTACTGCATTTGTAACCCTCTACAAGCAAGTGTTACATTTGTCTGTAATGCTAATCAAAGTGGATGCAGTGCCGATTTGTACATTGTATAAATGTTTATATATTTATCAACATCAGCAGATATGTACATGAATAATATAATATCATTTGTTTAAATTTACATAGCTATGACATTGGTAAATCAGCCGTAAGTTATGGTAAACATTTACAAAGATGCCCTCTCCAGAGCAACTCACAGTGATATAAACATAGCAGAGTCTAAGGCAGTTACTCTCACTGTGGCAGTTCTGCTTGGACTGGGACCTGAACCCCTGATCTTTTCAGTCTGCATGTTGCCTACTAGGTTATACATTTCAATGTGTGATTTGATTATGGAACAGTGTTTGAAAACAGAAGTGCTCACTTGCGTGTGACCCTTTAATAATACACATACAAATAATATATACTTATGAAGTTCCCATGTGACACCAGTTTGTTTCGGTTGCTGTTGCTGGAGCCTAAAACCTTCAATTCACTAGACGAGGACCTGTTTCACACATACCACGTTCGCCATACTATGATCGACTGCTATAGCTCACAAGCATTGGCCATTCACACACACGGTGTTTGCAAGTTCTCCAGACATCCTTATTTTCCAGTAGTCAGATCGGTTACTTTCCTTGATCAAAATATAATTTGTGAAAAGGCATAGTACATTGGTTTGCCCTTGGCAGGTTTCTGACTTGTGATTGGGCGATTGTTTCAAGCCTAGTAGACCTATTAGGAAAAGTGTACCCAGCACAAAAGCTAATATTGAAGTGTAGCTAGTATTTCATTTGATAGTGGTCGTGAATTGTAAAACTTTCGTTTGGGTTTCTGTTTAGTTTTCATTGGCTTTAATAGTTTGTTTCACTATATCAACCATTTTTTTGTTTATTTTCTCTGTTTACTTTTTATAGTAATTGACCAGTGTACACTACTAGATTACATCCAGAGTAGAGTTGGGGAAAAAAAATCAAACTTGATTTACTGATTGATGTAAAATTTGGGTAAAAGTTGTGCGAAGTAAACCTCGGCTTAGGTGGAAACAGCAGTTTTATCAGTCTGCCTCTTGTTTCCAGCCTAGCATCTCCTCTAAGATCCAGCCAGCCAGCAGTGGGACAGACGCATCCGCCAAGCTGCGGAGTGACAACTCAACTCATCCAGCTTCAGCGGGAAGTCCGCTTACTCCCAGCCTAAACAGCGGCTACGAAATTACAGAAGGCGAGCCGAAGCAATTACAGTCATAAGGGCCTAAATATCAGAGGAAAGATACAGGAATAACAAGAAAGGAGGGGATGAGTGTGCTCCTCCAGGCTAAAGACTAGATGCAGGAATCTATATGGCGAAATAATTATTACCAAGAGAACTGATGTTACCGTAATAATGGGCCGTTTGTTGCTTTCATGTGGTCCACCCACTGACAAAATAAGCCTAATCTCTCCCTCTGTGGCCACTCCAAAGTCTTCACTCCCTACTCCCACACAATGAATGGATTCCAGTCAAATCGTGCCTGCCGAAAGTGTACGCACAATAAACAATTATCTGTCTAGCCCAAAGCACTCAGTGCTGGCCCGCTCTCGCCTTTCCTCCACTTATAGTCTAAACAGAGTGTTAATTTTGACTGGAGCATTTCAAATACACAGCTTCTCGCTTTTCATTGCAGTGCCTTGCCGCAGGTTCACAGGCTTGCTAAGAAACAAAGACGTTGATGCCACGCTATAGATGTGAAGCACCACTCCTACATAGCAGCCCCACTCTGCCATTTCCAGCTAGTCTAGACAGTGATGGCACATTTTCAGTCGATTAACACTTGATTATTTACATACCCTCCCTGAACGATTGAGACCGACGTTGTAAAATAAATTCTGTACTCAAAGCTGTATTAAAGTTTGTAGCAGGCATTTGCACCTGTTCAACAGAGCAAAAGTTAAGCGACTAGCAAGCCAGCAGTAACTCTTGTGTAAATAAGCAATACAGCAACCAGTGGTGCACCGCCAGTGTTTATTTCCGCAACCCAGTGAGCTTAAATGGGAGTTTGGGGATAATTGAGTACAGGCCAGTTTACAAAATCCATCTATTACAGCCATACCAAGTTCAATGAGTTCAGCTGGCTAGCGGTTGTCTATATCATGTTTTCAGCTAACCAGCAAAAGCAACTTTAGGACTAACTTTAGGACTAACTTTAAACCTTCTTTTATCTCCAATTGTGCACGTCTTAAAATGCCTCTGGAAACACTTTTACATTTTGTGTAATTGTTTCTCACTTGTTGCTCGATAAAACAGCAGTTCTGTCGAAAGAGCAATTCTGTCAACTCTAAACTTTTAATCAGTGCCACATTTGATAAAGTTATTGTTTTCTGGAAAAGAAAAAATTGTAACTTACATATTTGCCATGTTTTTGTAATTTTTTTTTTGTTTTTTAAAACAAGTGGAAAAATTTGCAGACCTGACCATGTTGGATATACGAGATAAATCTAATGTAAATGTAATTCGTAATGTAATTTTGCCACAATATGTCTGCCATTTTTATGACAAGATAAAAAAAATCAGCATAAATTACAGAAATGGGAGCGGCTAGTCGATTTAAGCCTTGCCATCACACAAAAATACATTCAGCTGCTCACGCGTAAAAAATATGTGCAAACATTTATTAATCTACCTAACACTGTATCATTAGTAGTGTTATTAGCTGGGGAATTTATAGCCAACAGTCAGCATTGCTGCATATATGTGTTTTTTTCTTTCATTTTGGATAATAAATATCAGCTTGACCTTTTACCCAGATAATACACGTCACTGTTTCTCTGAGTGTCTCTATAATTAAGAAAAAATGCAAAAACTCCTTTTGCACAGGGTATGATGGAATAATTGCCAATATGGAAATTTGCATAGAATTAATACAGCCTGGGGTTATTTCTGTTTTTTGTTATGTTGTTGGTAAAAGCGGCCAGAATCTTCACTGATGCATGTTGCATTACAGATATGTTGCATTAGGATGGGACTGAAATCACTGAGAAACACCAATAGTAATTACATTACCCCCCTCCCTATGTAAATCTCATCCGGATAGGGCTTAATTACGTAATTCCATAATGTAAATCAATTGTGTAACAAAAAGACTAACTCTAGACTTTTAATAGACTGTGTTTGAGCATGGGGACGCTGATATAACCAACTAAGAAACAGTGTTGGCGATTGAGAAGTAAATAATTCTTTTTGAATGACTTGCATCGGTCAGATCGATTTGCAGAAATTGAACGTTTTTTCATCTGTGAGCAGTTCAAAACACATATTTCTATAACTTACATTCACCAGAAACCAGCCAATGCAAAGCAGTTGAACATATTAGCCAATTATAATTCTTGAAAATTTGCATAATTTAAGGTGTGAGCTACAAGCAAAGTTTAAAAGTCCTTTTCTTTTTTGCATCTAAAAGGAAAAGCCCATTGTGCATGTTGTACATTTGAGTAGGCTATTTTTTCAGTGACAGCAGTTGAAGAGAAAGTTTCACTTATATACATATTTGAGTGTTTTGTGTTTTCTCATGGGATGTATGTGCATTATTACACTATTATGAAGCTTATTCTAAATATCAGCATACAGTGAACAAGAAAAGCAAATGAAATCACAATTGTAATTATGTGTACAGCAAATAATCATCAACAAAAATCTCACGACTGAAACAGCTCTACAGCCAAGCCTGTCGGGGGCGGATGTTCAGCTCCACTTTGTCTGCGATTTGTAAACATGGGTGTTTTTGAACATTTACCTGTCAGAACGCCTCCAACACTAGCTCGCTTTAGCATAACTGTCAGGACTCATCTTCCATTTCATATTCACTGCACACTTGCAGTGCCTGTGCATGTATTACAGAGATGCGAAGTTATGTAATGCTTTAGATTCAGGTCTCAAATAAGCTCAAAGTCACAGCTAGTCAGCTGGACTGTAAGTGGACAAACTAGTTCAAACATGTTGAAAACAGAGATTATTTAGGTCACTGAAGCTCAGTGGAGGATCATTCATATCAACTGACTGTACTTAGCCATTACTATGACTTGACATAAGTATGTGCCTAGACTTAATCCCTTGATACATAGGCTTATTATTCAAGGGGAATTCCACAGATTGTTCAAAAATATCTGCTGGTTTTTTAATGCGAAATGATACATTGACTCACCAGCTCCGATTTCTTTACCGTGATGGTGATAGGAGCCACGGATCACAATGTCTACAGTTTAGATGCATTTTATTTACGATCTAAAATGACCAGTGAACCTACACATCTGATGAGTTTTTATATATAATGTTAATAATGGCAAAATAGTTAAATAGTAAATAATACTTTTTCTTCAAGTACAATTTGCATTACAGTACCTTGCATGTACTATGTGGTCCTTCATGTACCTTTGTCCTGCATGTGCCTCACAGTCATGTGTGAAACTTACCATCCTTCAAGTACATTAATGTCTTGCCTGTACCTCACCGTCCTGCGTGTACCTTAATGTCCTTCATGTAACTTACTGTCCTGCATGTAATGTGTGTATTAAAAAAAAATCTGTTTTAGGCCAAAACCTTGTCTCAGAATGATCAGAAAACAACCCTTTGTATCCTATAACCTAGTTAAAACTTATTAAAAACAGGGAGCGTTTAGGTGACTTAAGCTCAGTAGAGGATCATTGTCATTCATGTCGAGCCCACTGTATATAGACATTACTTAACATTACTATGACTAAAATATGTGAATATGCCTAGACTTTACCGCTGAATGTTAAGCTTATTATTCTGTTTTTAATCCTAAGACTTGCTGTTGAGTAGTTCCTATGAATTATATAGTAATTACCATGATACATACATACATACACATGCATACAACTTACATTATATGTAGCTATTAGATTGAGGAACTGAAATGTGGGCCCACATACAAGCCAAGCTTAGGGTCTGAGTGGTTGAACTTATAACTTAATTTTTTGCCTCCTGTGTATGTGTGTGTGTGTGTGTGTTTTCCAGGCAATGGCAGAGCTGCAAACGGCATTGTGTTCAGTCAAAGAGGAGAGCAAAAAGACCCAGCAGGCTCTGGAGCGCCAGCTACAGGAAACGCACACGCGGTGGGATGAGGAGAGAAGGCAACTGAGCCGTGACGCGGACCGAGCCAGCAAGGTTAAGACACAAACACACTTAGAACAAGTTACAACACTGCTAACCTGCCTTAAAAGGGAATTTCAGTCTTTTTTCAAAATTTCTGCATCATTTAATTACTGAGATGTAAACAAAATCATTTCGAGTGGTTTGATGTGAAATGGTACGCTTCTTTAAATGGTGTACCTCTTTACAGTGGTAATAATAGGAATGGGGTCATGATGTCTACAGCACAAATGTAATCGTTTTTAGGATCTAAAATGGCAGGTGAACTTCTGTTTTTGCAAGGTTCATAATGGTTTCATAATGGTTTACCATTTAAAGGCATTAAACTCTTCAGACATCTGGTTCCTATCATCACCACCACTGTGATCAGTTCTGATTTAGTAAGTGCAGCATTTCACATTTCAAACTAATCTGAATAACTGTTTGCATCTTAATTATTTAATTATGCAAATATTTAAAAGACAACACTAAAAAGGAAACGCAGTGAATTTACTTCCCTCAAACATGTACATCATTTCCACATGAATAAATTGTTACATCGCATCGATGTAATATATTTTGTTCAAGTGAAAATTATGTACAAATTGATAAAAAGGTAAATCTGATGCATTAATGTTTTCGGTGTACAGTTAAATGCTATGACACAGTCTCATTGTATCTCTGAGGAAAAAGAACAAGCACGGATGATTCGTTTTCTATGTCTTACAAGTGCGTATCTGAGTCTGATTTTAATGGGAAAGATATGGCTGTGCTCCATTTAGTGGGAGGGGAGGTTAAAGACAGGTCAGAGTGGAGACTGTGCCAGAGTGGAGTGTGTCATTTTTACAATGGGTTTGAACTGGATCTCCTAACTTTGAACTCCTCTGTTTTGGCATTGGAGCTCTAATGACCTTTGTCCTTGAGGTAAGGCTTCGTCTCCTTGCTGATATAAGAGCCTTCTGGTGGCTCTCATACTGAAGGGAAACTTTGTTGTGATGTTGTAATAATGCATGAAAGAGGGAGGACTTAAGGTATTTAGGTTAGTAATTAGTTTTAATTCAGTGTATTGAAACAAATCCTTTACATAGAACAAACTTAAAAATTACATTTTTCTACTACTTTTACTGCACAGCTTCTATTTATTTGTTAAGTTTAACATGGGAAAAAAATATATGAAATGTTAGGCTACACTATATATATATATACATATATATATTTATTTATTTATTTATTTATTTATTTTTAAATTGGAAATAAACAGCAAATAAACATAAACAGTAATTGTGCAGTAAAATGTGCAAAAGTGTGTTCTGTAGAGAATGTGTGAAATTATTTTCACTTTGTAAGTCAACAACACTTTTGCATATGACTATATCATTTGTAAGTATCCTTTTTGAAAGTCTGGTTTCTGTATGGTTAATGTTTTCAATACTGGGTAATGGTCCATTTGATGTCATTTCAGGCTAGCAAAACAGTCCAATCAGAGCAATGTCAGATTTGTAGTGCTGGCTTTACATGGACAACTTTCATGCAACGTTAGTCAGTCAAAACGCTGATAACGCATCACGTGAACATGTTAACCAGCAACATTTTAAGTGCACACAAGAATGAGAGAACTTGGTTTTTGTCCTCCCTTTGATCTTCACTGGATGATGCAAATTTGTGTTGAGCATGTGTTTTGTGGAATATTCAAGGTATTTCATAAAGGTGAATTTGTTCCAGTAGCAGTGTTGACTAAATGTTGGAGGACAACTAAAATGTGCGTTTCTCTTAACCTAACACACTTTTTACCCCCCCCTTTTACACCCCTTTTAAAAATGTTCCTATGTAGTATCAAAAAAGGTTTCTACTATTGTTACGAGTCAAAAAAACATTTATCAGTACTATATAGAATTTTTTTTTGCTAAGATGACCCATGATAAATGATGTTTAAACCGTGAGATGTTAAATGGATTTACACAAAAACATTTTTAGTAAAGTATATTTATAGTGGACTGGGCAAAAAAGCTATTTCAGTGCCATAAGTAGATTTATTAACGTTTTAATTTATTTGTCAAAGTCATGCATAAAGTACATAAAGACTAAGCTAAGTGGCTACAGACACCCCAGCATTGGACATCACTTCACATTACTTGGTTAATCGCACTTTTGTAGGCAAATTAAAGCTGACAATGTAGTACAAACACAACTTTGACCGAACTGCGCGTCCATTTTGTTCTTCTGTTTGACAAAGATTCAGCTTCCACTTGCACGCTTTTACTTTGTTTGCTGCTGCGTGTACTTCAGAGTACTAAAAATTACTGGGGAAAAAAATGTTGCTATTCAGGGCTTAATTTGTTTCAGAAGAAGCTAGATCTGGATCCGGAACCTCCCAGATTGAGTCCGGCTCCTATTTGAGTGGATCTACATTTTAAATATAGTCATATGACGTCTATAGAGAAAAATCTAATATGCTAATATTTGCTAATAATGCTAATATTTTTTTTCACAAGCAACTCAACATATATTACATAATATAAAAGAAATAAAAATAAAAAGCAGTACACTTGCCACTTCTTGCCACCCATACACTTTTACTTTCTCCTGTTTGTGCAGAGAAAGAAACTGTAATAAAAACACCAACACTGTTCATCACTCACAAACGTACCACTACTGCTGTGTTCATTCATCCCTCTAAAGGTTTTAATAACACTGAGCTCAACCACTGGCTTGTAACCAGTAGCAGTGCTTGGACTGTCTTTGTGAGTGGGCACAACAAATTTGCAGGCTAACTGTGGTTGCTACAGAACAGAAAAATGCTAAAACTGGGGTACATAAATCTCACAAAGCATAGGCAAAAAACTCTTAACTTTCTGCAGTTTCTCTCTGTTATTCTGGTGTTCGGAACTGTTTGTAGTTATGTGATTGTATTTATTTACTGTGATGTTATGGGGTGCACTTGGTTGTTCATACTTTCAGTCCAGCAGTGGTGTTGGTCTTGGAAGAGTTTTTTTTATTATTATTATTATTTATTTATTTAGTTAATATTAGTTATTTATTTGTTTTGTGATGAGCTTTTGTCCTATTCTGAGGTTGAAATGCAGTGCTTAGCAAACACCTCATAGTAACAAGTTAAAGTGGAATTTTCATTGGTCAGTATCAGAAATAGAAAGTCAAATATGTGAAACATAATTTGCAAGTTAGTTTAATTTGTGGTTTTAGCTTATATACACCTCCCAATCATACTGAAAAGCAAAAAGAATACCGGAAGCTGTTAGTTAGGAGAACGTTCCTTCGATGCTCAGGAGCCTCGGTAACACCCTTGTTAGTTGTAAGATCATACGTTATAGGGAAACCTCCGACTGAGCTGCCAGATCTCTACTCAGTGAACTTCATCTCAAACTCTACTTGGAACCTCATCATTGGCAAATTAAGCCCTGCTATTCCTATTAGTTTTAGTAGGAGTAGTATCTATGTAAGTACATTTGCTAATACTTCTGAACACATCATCAATTATGTTTTTCCAAGCATCAGCAGATGTACTTAGAGATACTATTACTACTGCAGATACTTGTTCTTCTGGTCTTTTTAGATGTTCCTTAACTCTGAAGGGGACACGAGAGCAAACAATAGTAGACAATGACGGCCTCTCATGTTACGTTAAACTTACTGAGTTGTGATTTAACCAACAGTGGCAAAATGATGTTCCTTCACTTTTGAATGAAAGAAGCAGTTTTCTTAATATAAAAGTAAAAAATTTGCTACAGCAAACTACAGACTACAAAAGATTATCAACCATTGCCATTCAGAATGTAAACAGTGCCTACAGAGGTTACTTGAGCAGCCTTTTGGTTCTATGTCAGTTAGCTATATTCTTTCCTTGGGATAACGTCTTCTTCTCCACCCTAAACACAGACTGTCAACTTTTTATGAAAGTTTAGTGCTGTGTACACTGTGTTTAAGCTCAATGCATCAGCTTTTGACACTTTCGTTTCTCCAGCGCAGGCCAAAAAACCACTTACCCAGCTTATACTATTAGGTGTAAAAGCACTGCCATTCAGTTTCAATGTACTGTAATACTACTGTCAAATTACATAACTATCTTTACTCTTAGTCAGGAGTAAGGGATGATAAAGTCTGATGTACCAGGAAGCAGTGCCATCCTACTATTTATACAGTGTATTTCAGTCATCTCTTTAACATTCTTCTTCCTACATTCTTGCATTCATTGTCTTGTTGGAGTACTTCTAGATGGAGCTCCCTGTAGTCTCATCATGAGTGAGCGGTGGGTCCTCATAGCTCACGAAAGCTCTCCTCCTCTCTCATTAAGAGAGCGTGTTCACTGGGAGCCACAGCTCATCCACACACACACTCTCAGACCCAGTCTCACAGCCTCGTATTAACAGTCTGATGGAGTCCAACTATCCTGCTTCGGCTCTGCCTCGAGCAGGGAGCAGCGTCCAATTACCTTAGAGTACACTCGAGTGTGCGTGTGTGATTTGAGTGCACAAACCATTCAGTGTCCTCATTATTGCGAGCTGGCGTGTTAACTGCTCAGATAATGAGTCTCCAATTAATGGCTGACTTGTTGATTAAAGTCCAGGCGCATGAGAAATGCTACTGATAAGTGTGTGTGTTTGGGCAAGAATAGAGGGGAACAGGGAAACCGTGTCAACCAGTTTGTCTTTGGACAGTGTCGGGCTGACATTGTTTCCAGACTGCTCACTTCAAAGGCGGATTTTGAAAGCCAAAGGGGCTGAAACAAAAAAAAAGAGGAAAAAAAACTGAGGGAAGGGGAAAATAAAACAACAACATCAAAGTACAACGCATTTGACTGCAATAATCCCAAAACATTTGTTGTCAGCGCGCCGACTCGTATCAGATGTCCCTTTCCCCTCTTTTTCCGTAGATTAAATCCGAGTTTGTTTCTGAAGTTGCCTAAAGTCCTTGCTCTGCCCTAAATCTCCAGAAAGGAGACCCACAGCTCTCTTCTTTGCTTTAATTGCTCACATTTGGCACAAAGCCTCTTAAGACGCAAAATGCGCCTTAAAATTGCG